TATTTAATATCATGCACCATCGGCGGCTGCAACGAAGCCTTTCTCTGATCTTTTTCTGAACAGCGTCTGAACGAGATTTCCTAGACAGGTGTTGCTGTGTGGGCAACTAAATGACAGCACCAGAAAAGCAAGCAGAGTTGGGTGGGCCCGCGTATTTTATTTGTCAGTATATATGCGGCGGAGCAAGACGCTTGCTTTAAGCGACTTTTTGTCTGACTAATCGAATGAATCAGTCGAGTCGAATACTCCAAGAGGTAGATGTTTAAGGCTGCATAAGCGATGTGTCCGCCTGCCAATGAGCCTGGTCGAGGTCTGTGAAGAGATCGAGAAGTTCGCTTTTGGGGACTTTACGCAATGCGGCACGACTCTGCATGCGGAATATATAAAGCGATTGTAGGTGTTTGTTTAAACACTGCGTATGTCATGCGAACATTTACGATCTTAGTAGGTTGAATAATGTCGCACGACGGCACAATTGTCTTTAGCACAGCTGGAAGATCGCAGAACTAAATTATGAAACGTTGAAAAACCAGAGGTCAGAAGAGTATCAGAGATGGTATGTTCTGTGAAGCTTAATTGACGCTGCTCACGTTTGAGTCCAGCGGTAAAACGGACGCCAAAGTTCAATCTGTTGACAGGAACCGCGTAGGAGGCCGATTCTTTTTGATGCCAAGAAAGTATAGACGATTATGGAAGATGTTGTACGTGTTGTCCCATACACAGATGTTAGTTTGTTAGGCGTTATTTTTTGGTTTTACTAGTGCATTTATCACGCCACTGTCACCAACCTCATGAATCGGTTCACAACGACGTTGACGCAGATATTGCGATCGCATATGAGCTTAATTAGACCTGGGCAGAAATCCTCAACTGAAACCTCGGGGGGGGGGGGGGGGGGAATGATCTTCATCTTTCGGAGTTAGCGCGTTTGAACACACATACGATACGCGATAAACATTACTGAATTTAGAATTTTTAGGCTCTGTGTGTGGGCAGGACGTGCGGCCATACAAGCGCTGCGTAAACCAAGACGCACTGACGTGTAGCAAAGGCATTGTGATGCCGTATGCACGTTACGACGTCTGACCGAAAGAGTTAATTGCTCCTGTTAGAATAATTCGTACCTCCGTAATGTTTTGTTCTGAAGATCCTACTTAGTAGACGCCGCTGTTGCCCATTAAATGAGCGACGGATTGAGTAATTTCTTAACGTTTTTTCAGCGCAGACGCAATTACACAAGCCTTCTTCCATTGTAGTCTCTACCGCCAAGAAAAGAACTTGCATATTCCATACGAACCTCTGCAGTTATTTACGCTGTTAGATTGAAGGGTCCAAACGTTGCGTTATCTGCAAACTAAACACAGACAATGCTAGATCATGATTATTCTGCATTTGGAGCCTACCGTAACGATGGCAATGTCTATAAATATTGACAATATATGGCTCGAGCTCAACACCGGCAGCACAGCAGTGGCGCTGCGTGACTAGTACCTGTGAAGAAAGGCGATAAACGATGATGGTGATGTTTGTCGTCGATGACTAAAACCATAACGACGGCTCTACGAATATTCGGTGGGGTGCCGGCAGTGATGGCGTGGTATAGCAAAAAGCAGTGCTCTTTTTTTTCTACGGCAGACGCAGCCCATGATTAGATAGAATTGGGCTCTGAATGAGTTATTTTTTAAGCAGGTCGATTCGAATGGCTGTTAGATTGTTAGGGGCTTAGCCGTTAGTCTTGGGTGACCGTTGCTAAGAATACAAATCGGTGTAATTCATTCAATCTTTTTTGGCGTTCGGAACAGACCTGACGTTTACGAATTGCAAATCCTATAATCGAATGAAACTCAATTGGTAAGCTTTATTAGAAACAACGCTGTGTGAATTTTTTTTTTGATAAGCCCAGGAGGGCTTGGGTATATACGAGCATTATATCTTAGCTTTTATTGTTTGCGTCAAGTTTACGCTTAATTGGATGCGAAGTGCTCCAAGGAACAAACTCTACTAGTCCTGTGACTTACATTTAAAGCACGTAATGCAAAACCTACGAACCAATCATATATGCTGGAATAAAGTTCAAATTCTTACTGAACTTTATTTTCGATCCCTACGTAATGCTAACATCCGCAGACGAACGATAGTTCCATCTGTTTTGACAAAATTCCACTTTTCTAATGCAAGGATCGTTGTGTTGTAAGCAAACTTCTCGCATAGATCTCGTATCTTTCCGTTGAAGGACCTCTTTTCTCGAACTATTTGGCTAGTGAAAACCACCGAACGACTTAGCAGACTATACCAATTGTCTAGTGCCAATTATTCCCGTACTTAATCCCCCGTGCAACGATTCTATAAATCATCGATCTTTTTTCACCTTCGGTAGGCGTGTCCATCCTTTGTCCTAAGTGGCACGATCCACATATCACTCAACCGTATTTGTCCTGCCCTGAAAGAAACCAGCACAAATAAATGCCACCCTTCCAGAGGGCAATTACAGTCACAGGCTACCGATTAAAACCTATAGGGACAGTTTTTTTTCTCTCAAAACTCACACTGCTACGCGTAAAACGGTCATCCACCCACATTGCCCTACAGGCCATACTCTCTTTTTATAGGCAAATGCGAGCACAGACTGAACAGAGACAACACTAATAATTTCAAATTTTGCTATCGCCGGCCACGATAAACTCCTAGCTGTAGATCTATGCGTCCGCAGAATATTATTGGTCTCGCACAGCGGCAGTAACTGCGGGCGGCAACTGAGGCTTATCTGCGATTGACCGACATATTGTGAACGCGAGCACGATGCGGCAATAAGAAGACACTCGAGAATCAATCGACGGTTATTGAGTCCGCCGTTTTCGGTAGTGTCACTTGGTGGTGCCCTTACGCCGATGTCAACGTGGCAAAATTTGCTATTCTTGGCGCTGTTCCTGCCTCCATTCGCTGCCTGTGGAACGACGGGGTGTCACCAAGGCGAGGCCTCCTTACATTGCGGCGGACAAACGCGCTGAGGAAAACGGCCCACGCAAACAAGTAACGCTTCTACGCCTGGTAACATTGACAGTAATCATAACAAAAGTCATAATTATTACTAATAACATGCAGCCACAGCGTTTCAGCGCGTTTTCATAGATAATAAAGGAAATCGAAAGTTATCCATAGCGAATTTTCACGGACTGTGGAAGCTAAACATTGTGGATTGTGCTACAAAATAGCTATAGTGAAACTCTCATAATAAAAGCATTTGCTATCGAACCGCAGCAAGGAATAACGGCTTTTTTTTTTTTGAATGAGACTAACATGAAGCAGCCAGTGATAGTAATAAAAACAGCTAACCAATAGGACAACCTCTCATGTGTTATGTAATATACCAGCAGAGTTCACTGATAAATGATATAGTAATGTAATAGGCGTCACTAGCACGACGATATGTGAGATGTGGCATGGCGAAACGTACATGTTTAATCAAGAAAATGCTCTATTTAAATTTAATGCAATATGCTTATGGTATCTTCTCTAGCGAAATAACGCAATTAGTTAAACAACTGTGCCGACTATGCCAACTTAAAGAGGCATAACTTACCCAAAAGTCTAACTAGAGCCTCAAAGTTTCCGGCTCAACATTGGGGCTGTATAACGCATTCGATACTGCTACGATTTTACACTACTCATTATTATATGAGCATTGGTGTGAAGCAGCATTGACACGGTCACAGAAACCTCTATTCTATTTAGCCGTTAACCCGCTAGTATACACACTGTACTACGACACGCATCCCTGTTGTACACGTGTTAACTACTACTCAGTGTTGTCAATGGATTTTCCCAATGAACCTGGAACTTGCTCTGTTTAGCGAAAGGTGAAGGCTGCCGCATGTCCAGGCCCCTATAGTGCGCGTTCCGGTCAACCTAACATCCGCAATTTTTCTAGAAAATGCACCGGTATTTCGTGACATGCGGTGTACATTGAACCTGCTTATTGAACTAGCTCATTGTTGTACATAGTCAAGCTGTACAGATAACAGTTTGTCGTAGCAATGTGCCTCTAGAGATCTAGAGTAGATCCATCGTTGAAGTAAGCGCGCAAAGCAAAAAAAAAACATTGCCATGCATGAGCTGAAAAGAGCACGTAACCTTTCAATGGATGCGCCTTTCCCTCCCTTGGCATGTATGAACTCTGTCGTCACTCGAACCATCTCATTGGTTTAATGTCGCTATCGTTGTTGTTTGGAGCTGCAGAGTAGATAGTGTCGTTTCCCATCGTCGGGTCTCTGTTCCGGCTGTGCTTCTAGGCATGTCATTATCAAACATGGAGAATAGCTTCGCACGGCATTGAGAAATATCTTTCAAGACACCACTTACCGTAATGTTTCACAAGGCCTCTCTTCGGTTCCTGATGCATTAGGGCTTTATGATCCGACCGTGACAATTTGAGATGATCGGGAAGAAACAGAAAGCCTACGTATGAGATGGCCAGAGTAACCAATGGCTTTGAGCTGTCATGTACCTGGAATATGTCTCTCCATAGTTGTTCACTCTGTCGTCTCGTAGCTTCAAAAATCCCTAAATAGCCTTCCTTGAAGCGTGCTGAAATATATCCACGCTATAGACTAGTACATACGAGAAACAGACACACCATATTTTAGCATGCGCTACAAAAGGTGCCATGCCGTACCGGAGGTTCTTATTCGAATCAGAGACGTCGGAGCGGTACGGTGCTCTACGTAAAAAACGAATGGTATCAAAAATCTCATATTTATGTAACAAATAATGGAACCTACGGAATAAAAAGTTCTACTAGCTAGGTACGATCTGAATGTCAAAACACTGGTACATACAGCATCGTAAGTGTCAATTAAGCTGCTGATAATTGGTGATGACATTTATTCGAGCCAACATTGTAAAGTCGCACAATATTGTTCCACTTTTTTGACCTTTTCGCTTACATTTCTAATAACTATTGTAATAGAACATTGTACTAATTCTTTAAGCCTTTGTTACAGGGCTTTGTTCGGTGCTCCACGAGGTCAGCTCGATAGTTTCACGTTTCCTGGTACAGATCGTACTGGCGCTGTATACCAGTGCGAGGTCAATAAAGCTCAAAGCCCCTGCAGAAAGGTATATTACCGAAAAAATTCATGCCCCAGATACTTGCGCAACATGTTAGAACGCAATCTTCAACTAAAACAACCAATTTCTAAAAGATTGTTCCACCCTATTACATATACGGTTTTTATCTATATACAGTTATAGCAATTTCAAAACAAAGGTTGACCATACATGTACTATATAATGATTGGAATATTAGCAGCTTTGACCTCGTATTTCTTTTAATTTTTCTCTTCAATGTTTGTGAAATAGTGCACAAAAGGTACTTAGGGACCACAAACGATTCAGGTTCTTAAAAATGGTCAAGGTAGCTTATATGTAAGTCATGAGGAGAAGCTTGTTCACTTATGCTTCTAGGCCAGTAAGTTGTTTAATTATTGATTTATTTAATTTTAAATCGCTTGGAAAAAAAATAAATCATCACCTCCTAACCTTGGATTTATTTTCAATTTATTTTCACCTGGCTTCAAAACCATATTTGATCTAAGCAAATGTTCCGGACACGTATATAACCAACCATCTGTGCTCCTCACATAGTCTTCCGCTTTACACTGGAGCTGGATAGCCGCATTTCATTATTGAAATTTCATTGTATCCTTTTATTTGACATATTCGAATAAAGCATAAAATGCTTATGTTCCGATGTGCTCAGGCTTCTGCGCCTTATTATTAGGCTGTTACTAGCGAATCCGGCGGACTTTGAGCTTGAATAACTCTTGTGAAGCTAGAATGATGGTTTTAATGTGTTCTTTAATTTCTTTTTCATATTCCTCTTAACGTTCTAGTTGGTTTTATACAATCTCTATACGTCATGTTTGTATCTGTAGCTTCTTGAAGCAATAAACTTGTCTATTAGTTTCCCCTAGCTAAGCGCACGGAAAAGCTTAATATCGAAACTTAAATCGAGAGAATAAGTGGACGGAGGCTAACGTTGCACGTGCTTTTGGCCAGTCTAGGAAGTACTTAAGGCATGGCGATGAACCAAACTGCGTGCTTTCGACTTCAACGTCAACAATCCGTTGGCCTTTTAATTAACACAAGGCGGTGGGTTTCCTCATTGTTTCATTTTCGGCAATTATCTTATAGCAGATGCCCCTGGCTTCCACTGTAAGTACTATCATTATTTTACGGCCAAAAATTACTCGACAGCACCCCACGACTAGTTCGATATCTTCCCAGCGCAACGCCACTCATTCGCCTGATCCTATTCCGGCTGGAGGGAAATTGAATCACATCTCGTCTAGGGCGATCGCATGTTCCAGGCTGGTGTCCCGCAAATTACCCTAGAATACGCGACACATATTTTGAACTGGCCCGGAGTCAATTCACTCAGTTGTGACGTTTTCATAATTCCTTTGCACGGAAATGCCGGTTTTTGCCGGTAGAGTCCAATGTGTTCGTGTCCTTTGGATCTCAACATCTGGTCACCTCCTCGTTGGTCCTTAACGCTGTAGTCTTCCGTTGCTTTCGCTTAAGACCTTGCCTAACGTATTCATCAGTTTTCGATGACTTTGCGTAACACTGTGGCCTTCATGGACCAAAGGTTCGGCCAGGGAGCGTTGATTTCATAGATTAAAAGGTTGTCCGAACTCATTCGTTCTGAGCTAGATTCAAGTGCTTCGTACCCAGAGGTGTTTAAACTGTAATATTTATCAGCTGTTTGCTAATGGCGCGTAGTTCAAAAGTTTTGTCCGCCGGATTTGCTTATAACAGCTTAATACCATAACTTAAAGCAAGCGATAACCGAATGGAACTCTGAATTATTTTGTAATAGACAACAATAGTAATTTCGTGAACGTACCTTTTAACTGCCATATTAGTGAACAATTGGTCAAACGTTAGGTCTTTCCAGCTTCTCACTGTGTTTTTGCTTTCGTGATGTAGACATTTGATTCACAGCAGTATAATGAGACGTTCCGGCCTACCCTAAAAGGTGACTGGACCATAAAGGCAGCAAATATGAGTTTAGGTGAGTAGAGTTGCATCGTATATGTAAGAAAGGCTTTCGGCTTTTTTATTTTAGATAATAATTTACTCAATTAAAATTAAGATATTTCGCAAATATTTGCCGTAATCAGTTATAATAATAATACCTAGTAAGGCGTTGGTTCACGTATTTCAGGCCCAATGAAGACTCGATTAGTTATTCTGTTCTAATAACTGATCACTGTTTTATTAATAGGGCTTACGATGACTCATGACGATGAGCATAACAACATCGCCGTGTGTGCACCCCGTCAAATTCTCGAAATGCGAAATCCGCAACAACATCAGTTTTTCATCGGAGGTGCGTGTTACGTGTTCACAGAGAATTTTCATCCATTTGCAAAATTCGGCCAGTGGGGTGAATTTAAGAGGCTAGATGGCCTAACCCGGAAAAATGGTCCGGCTGGCACGCTGGTCTACGTGAATGGAATGCGACAACTGGGCATGTCCATAGACATTAGAGATAAGTAAGTTTGTTACTGATACTCTGACAAGCACTTGTTTGTTACCTTATCGCTAGTTACCTCGTACCGCAGTTTCGAAAAGCTTAATTACACAATATATAGTTGATGTAGTATTAGTACGCTACTGCTAACGGCAAATTGACCGTTTCTAAATTGTTCTAGTATCTCCTATACGTTGTCGCGGCCGCATCGCGGCATGATATGTTTGCTTTGTCGATAATTCGAACGGCGTAACGTACCGAAGCCATGAGCAATGCGTCCTGTTGCTGCAAAAGGACTGCATTACGCTTCTTTTATTTTTTATGGACATTGATATTTCACATTTGATCACATGACTAGTAGTATTAGGGAAACCGATTTATAAGCACTGGAAATAGCCGGATGGTAATTGCGTCCTCTGCCAGCCCAGTAGCTCCGATTCGAATTCACGGGTAGACGACCACCGTTGAAAATGGTGTTTTATGACGAAGAAGCCCGGCGGCTTCTTGATTGATCCGGTGGGTACTAAGGGTATCCCTTCTGCAGCCATAATAGAAAAGTTTATATGAAAACTATATGAAAGAAATACTTGTGTAAAAATTAATTAGGCCTTGACATGATATATATATATCGTGATATATATATATCAGAGATGTCCAATCTAGATATGCTGTGCATGATCGTCCTCTGCGTATTTCTAGGAATATGCTGGTGGGCGCTCCAGGTTTTGAGGATTGGAGCGGCGAATCCATACTTTTCGAGCTGCCTTCCCATGCTGGAGTTGAAACCTTCACAGCTGAGGAGCCTGCGTCCTATGCCGGCTATTCAGTGGCTAACATTTATATAAAAGGCGAATATTTTATCGTGCAAGGCGTTCCTCGCGGCGCGAAAACGTTTGGTAAGTACCTTCAATTGATGAAAGCCTGTCTTTTGAAAAAAGAAATGACATTTTTTTGGTGCTTTTGCGATCTATCGATGCAAAATGCTGGTAATTTCGATTAGTTATTGCCTTTTGGATCAGGATTGTATGATCCTATTCGATGGAGCTATTATACTGAAAATCCTTTTATTTCATTATTTACGTACTGTCAACTCAGAAGGCACCGATCCGGCTGGCGAGTGCGCGTTGCGATTTTACATCTGGAGTGGGGAACTGTGTTGATTAATGCAGCTTACTAATTATCATTTACCAACTAATCTGGGTCTGTTTTTATAATAATAAAAACAGACCCAGGTTTCTCTAATATTTGTTTATTTGTAAACTTGTTATGCTTTCTAAATCAATTTTGCCCGCATGGAAAAGAAAACAAGGACGAAGTTCTAGCATTCGAAATTGATTAACGATCACGGTAATTACTTTTAGGGCAAGTGGTAGTCAGTACGTACGCTGCAACTCAATATAGGGGCATTAAGGCTATACGCCAGGGCACTCAGATGGGAGAATACTTTGGAGCAGCTGTTGCCGTAGCAGATATCAACGGAGATGGAAAGGACGACCTGCTTGTCGGAGCACCGATGTACTCCCCGACAGAGGACAGCCGTGACCGAAATGGAATAGTTACGACAAAATTGTCCAAGGTTGTTACCGTACCCCATCATTATTTCGTTATTCGTTAGCGTTTAGTATTATCTTTTTCGTGTATTCTTTATACATAATGATATTCCCCTATCAGCTACCATTGGAATCTGCTTGGTGTATATTATAGCTGAGATGGGAAGCTGACTGACTATATTAGGCGATGAGTGTACTGAGGAAGCATATTGACGGTAAAATGCTGTTGGCCTCAACACTTCACTCTTAAATGTTGCAGGGCTCTTTCGATCAAGGTCGTGTATACGTGTACTTGGGTCGCGAGGACAACATTGATGTTCAACCGACGCATTATCTGCAAGCTTCAAATCGCGGCAAGGGTGCACGCTTTGGTTGGACTATAGTTCGTGTTGGAGATTTCGACAAGGACGGTTGTGACGAAGTCGCTATTGGAGCGCCTTTCGAGGAGCGCGAGAACGGTGGCTCAGGGGCCGTTTACCTCTTTAAAGGTGAATCACGTGCATCATTTAAATTGTAAACGAATTTCTGATGTTTTTATAAAGGAACTCTATTTCCGTACACAGAAAACTCCGTAGTTCCAGTTTTGACGGAACTAAAAAGTCCTATTTCTTTCCGTTTATATCTCGGTCTAGGTTGCACAAAGAAGGGTGACAACCAAGAATACCCATCAATTCGAATCGTTCCTCCAGCACAGTATCAAAGCCTAGTCCGAGGTTTCGGCTTTGCTATCTCTAAAGGGAATGATTTAACCGGCAATGGATATCCAGATGTTGCGATCGGTAAAAACTTCGATGTTAGATAGATTGCTTTCTTTCTGTTAGGCTTTCATATCAGTAAATAGATACTGCTGTGAATGTGAGATTGACTCGCTACGCTTTGATGTCCTACTGCAGGCCTTCTAATCATTCTATTGGGCTAACACCGGAAGGTACTGCCTAGTTCGAATCGAACTAAAGTCAAAAAGCAAATTGAAACATTTCCGTAATGACAAAAAGCGGACTGCAGTAATAACGACTATAATAATTAATGGTATTTTTATCGAAAAAAAAGGAATGCCACTAGTCTTCACCACATGTATGACGGCGGCAAAGGTTAGGTTACTATGCGTATCTGTGCCTAATGTCAATATCTATAGAAATAAAGGAAGCCACGCAAATGGCTCTAATCATCTTTTGGCGATGCATATTGATGTTTAACGATTTTAGGTGCTGTTTTGAGCGGTCATGGATTCGTCTATCAGGGACGACCTGTTGTGCTCATTAATGCTACCATTAAGGCAGAACACAACGTTGTTCCTGAAGGACCCGGGGACTGCAATGTAAACGACAGGTAGACGCTTGTTACGCGAAATCGACACATGTAATAGCCTAGACGATGACCATCGATAAGTTATCTGTTCACTTGCAGCTCACTGAAATCGAATTTAATATTAAATTTTCATCTGCAGTGCAGAGCACCCCCGCGGAACTCGAGGCCACCTTCATTTTCATGTTCATTGATTGTGTGGAGGCCCACGACAAATCGGACAATATTATGCTCGTGTGTGAACATTGCTATAAGATATTTTTTGTCTATTAAATTCGTTTCTCACGTCGTCGATCTTCCTCGCGTTTGCAGAGTGAATTACTTCTGTACGAAATTGACCGCCTGTGTCAGCTATGAACACCCAGCTAGACAGGGAAGCTCAACGACAATCCCCCGAGAACTTCCTGTAAAACTTCGATTCCAGGCAGATCCAACTAGGTCAAGCATCAGAGGCACGTTTTCTTTAACTTTTCAATACAAATATTTGCTAGAGCTGTTCACTGATCAGTATTAAAGCCTACGGATTGGCCTATTTTCCTCACCCTTATTGACAATGCATATTTGACACGTACTGTTCTTAGTAGGCAGTATAGAATGGCTGGACGATAAATAAACAACAACAAGCAACAATTACAAATTTAGTTTAGAAGAATGCGCGTATATAATATTATACACCTATAACAGCCTTTTACTATTAGCGACTTTCAAAACACAGACACGCATTTTAACCTACTTATTACACTAACCACATGAACTGTGTTTTTTTTTTATATTAAATCTAA